AATCGAATCAGTTCAATAACTGTAAAACTAGTTGATCAGAATAACAATTTAATTAATTTTCAAGGTGAAACTATAACAGTACGATTACACCTGAGATACCAGCAATATGATACTATATAATAACATTGCCAATTTTCCATCATTTAATAGCACATCAGTGTTAAAGCAGAGCAGAGCGCAATCACCAGGCAGACAAACATTAAAATTAACTAATATTAAGCGTACACTAACAGTATACAATAAAGAATATTTAAAATCGATCGGTTACAAGTTGAAGAAATACTAAAATGGATAATCTATTTTTAAATCCTGCAATCGATGAGAGTACAACAAGTGCGCACTGGCATACATATTCACCATTTTTGAATTCATTTAATAAAAGCGATATTATACGCATACAGATACAAAATCAAAATTTAAACATTTTACCTTCTACCAGTTTACTTTATATTGAAGGTACTATTAAAAGAGCTGATGGCAGTGAAACAACTAAAACAAAACTTATAAATAATGCTATTGCATTTTTATTTGATGAGATACGGTATGAGTTAAATGGGAAAGAAATTGATAACAATAGAAATGTGGGTATAACATCATGCTTAAAAAATTACATTTCATTAAACAAAAATGAGAGTCAAGCACTTATTAATGGTAGCTGGTCACCTGAACAACCAATTCAACCACAAACTTTATTTTTTAATTATTGTATTCCGTTAAGAAGACTTTTAGGATTTGCGGAGGACTACAAAAATATTGTGCCGAATGCAAAACATGAAATAATTTTAACACGTTCAAGATCTGATGATAATTCCTTTCCTTGCTCTGATGTCAATGAGAAACCGAAAATTCAACTGACCAAAGTGCAATGGAGAGTACAGCACATCAATTTAACTGATACGCTGAAATTGAACCTGTATAGGAATATTACAAATAATGCAAAAATAATGCTAGCTTTCAGAAATTGGGAATTGTATGAATATCCATCGTTACCACAAAATAGTAATCATCATATTTGGAATGTAAAAACAACAACTCAATTGGAAAAACCACGTTACATTATTTTTGCTCTGCAAACAGATAAACTTGACCAAGTAACGAAGGATCCATCAAAATTTGATCATTGTAATATAACTGATATAAAAGTTTACCAAAATTCAGAATGCTATCCGTATGAAGACATGAATTTATTTTTTGAAAGAAATCGTTACGGTATTGCCTATGATGAGTACACAAGGTTTCGAAGTAGTTATTACAATTACCCTATATCTGAAGCTTTATTAACATTAAAGGAATTTAAAGAAAAAGCTATGATTTTGATAGTAGATACTCGTTATCAAAATGAAAATCTAAAAATGGGACCGGTTGATGTTCGAATTGAAATGAAAAGTTCAACTGCAATACCCGATAAAACAACGGCTTATTGTCTTATGCTGCACGATAGATTAGTAGAATTCACACCTTTGACCGGTGAAGTTAATAAAATCGTTTAATAAAGTAAAAAGAATAAAAATGGATTACGTTATAATCGATGTACAATGCTTTAAAGATAACAATAATAACTTCATATTAAAAGAAATTGCTATTCTTTCATCAAATGATGAAATACAGCATTTTATTATAAAACCTGCATATGGTTATCATATACTTACATCTAAAACTAAGAATATAAATAATTGGTTAACAAAAAAACATCATGGATTTCGATGGTCGGATGGTCAAACGCATTTTTGTGATGTCATCAATTTTTTAAAGATTTATATAAATAAAAATAATACAATCATATATGTGAAGGGTGAAGAATTGGATTAATAATATTTTAAAGCATAGTAATACATATGATTTGGGGTCCAAACATGATTCAACAAGTTTAAAAAAATTGAAAAATCAGCATATTTATTATTCAAAAAAATGTTCTTATAAGCATATTGGTATTTGCGCTCTTGAAATGTCTACTTAATAAAACTGTTAATCTAAGCAATTTTATAGTATTTAAGAAACGAGAACGACAAAAATTCAGTTATTTTATTTACGACTTTCAATATCAAAAAAACAAAATCAATATGGATAAAAAAACCAAAGATTACACCAAATTGCAGAACACATCTACGGATTCGACAAGAAGATGGAAAGAGGAAATAAAACAACAATACCGGAAAGATACCGGTGAAAAGAAAAATAAATGATATTAATTATGTAATTAATTAATTAATATATTATATAAAACACTCATTATATAAAATTATGTTTTCAATTTTTATATAAAACATATTTCTAAAAATATTAAAAAGCTTTAAAATAAAAAAATTGTATTTTTTTTCCCCCTCAATAGCGCCACTGTTATGAGAATTCTTTGATAATGCATAGTTTTCAGATATCCCCTCTCACACATTTATATGAGTAATATTGAAATTATCATAGAAAGTTAGATAATTTAAAAAAAGAAAAAAAATATTTTTTTATTCCCTTTTACTCTTTTCGTATAAAAGATTTTTTTAAGAACAAGTTTGTTAGGGATTTCAGAGAGATAAGCCTGCAAAAAGAAAATAAAATCTGAAATAAGATAAAAAACCTGAAATCACATGCAAAAAAAAACTCCTGAAATAACATGCAGAAAAAAACCTGAAATAACATGCAGAAAAAAATAATAAAAAATATTTGTTTATTTTTATTTTAGTTTTATTTTATTTTTTTAAAAATTTTTTGTTTTTTCGAGATCAAAAATGACCTCGAAAAATTTATCTTTACATTTAATTATTTTAAATCCATAAATAATTTCTTGATTTAGGATTTTTTTATTAATTTGATTTATTTTTTTATGCGAATGTTTATTCGCATAAAATGTTGGCATGTAAGTCAAAAAATCTTCTGTTTCAATTTTTACCGTATCTTTTTTCTGCCCCGCGGCGTCTTTATAAGATGATTTTTGTCTTTCTAAAGACAGAATCTTAAATTTTTGCCCATGTTCTAGGGTGCTGAAAGATGTATATGGTTTAATTTTGTTCAAGTCCTGAACAAGTTCTACTAAGTCGGTGCTGTCATCGCTGCTCTCGCTTGGAGATCTCATTCTGATCCTTTTCGCCATTGTATAAAATATTACTTTAATTTTTGTATTAAAATTACTTTAATTTTCTGCTTAATACTGACATAATTTTTCTAATTATTTCCGAATTTATAGGAGAAATAAAATTGTTAAGAGGATGTATGCGGTTTTATGTTACCGAAAATTTAACATAACTTTAATATTATCGTAATTATTTTTAAGGTTCTTAAGAATTAGAATTAGAATTTACTACGAAACGAAGATAAAATTGCGTAATAATTTATGTTTACTTCATTTTTCTATCGGTAATAATACTTAAGTTTTAAAATTTTAAAGAGATATCTGAGGTTTTAATATATCAGGTCTAAAATAGCAACAAGCTCAAATAGCAACAAGGTCAAAGAAATGGAGGATGTATGCGGTTTTTTAGTACCGAATTTTTCTATATAATTTCAATTTTACAGTAATATCATATATTTAATACTGCATGATATTAAAAAAACCCCATCATATTGAATTCAGATTTTGAAAACATATTTAGATAATTTCAAAATTATAAAACAATTAAAAATTATAAAAAATGGATCCAAAATCGCTGAAAGCACAAGCTCTGGCAGCTTGGTTCAACTCAAAGAACTTTAATTTTGAGTATTATATAAAATTTAACGCTGACTGGCATAATTTAAAATTTAGTGGTTGGGACGACATCGATAAGAAGGGAGGATTAACAATTCAAGAAATAATGCTACATCCTGATAGTGGACCTTGGCTTTACAAAGGCGGATTTACTTGGATGTATCCGAAAATTAAACCTATTTAAGATATGTTTATATATTTTATAAATTAGAAAAAATAAAATTTTTTTTCTTTATATTATATATTTTCAATTCAATTATATATTTTAGATCTAATTTATGTTTTATTACAAAATTTTATAAAATTTCAGAAATTATATTAAAATTCGAAATGAATAAAAAATAAAATTTCTGAAGTTATTATTTATTTATTTATTTTTTTCAGACTTGTCATTATTATATAGCAAAATTTATTCTTCTATAGAAAAGTGCCCCCAAGCTAGAGTATGCACGTTATCATCTTTTATAAATCTCTTATCATCTAAATAACTTAAAGATATTTTATTCAAATTTTGTGTATATAATGTATGAGACTTACTTCTAAAATTTAACATTTTTCTAACTAATATTTGTTTTTTATACAAACAATCTCTATAATTATCTATTGTAAATTTTTTTACTACACATTTTTTTACACCTTTTGCTTTAGATATAGATTTTTTATTTTCAATATCAACTGAATACATTTTTGCTCTTAAACCTATGAATTCCAAAACCTATGAATTCTCTTAAACCACATTGAAAAACGATTAGTTGTACTATACGGACGTATTTTTTTGAGCTCTTGAAAATAATAATTTTTTTATATACTAATAAAGTATTATTGATTTTGAATTGAGCAATTTGGTAAATTCAAATATTCTGCTGGAATTTGCCTATTTTTGCTTGATTGTATCACATAGATTGGCGAGTTTTATAATAAATTTTATTAAAAAATTAATCCTACTTGGCGGTAATAGAAAAAAAAATATTAGGAGCCGTTAAGTATCCTGCTATCTTAATGAACATACTTACTTATAAGATTTTCCTAGTAAATAATGGCTGAATGCCGCCAATGTAAAAATCCTATTAGAGGGGAAAGTGGAATTAGATGCGCGGGCGTTTGCGGCAAAATCTACCACGAAAAAAAGTGTGCTGGACTTGATCAGCATACCATTGGTATATTGGATACGAAGAAAAATATCAAGTTTGTATGCGATGACTGTATTCTTTATATCCACAATGTTGATCTGGTGCTCAAAGATATCCAGGATGCTGTTGTTAAAAATAATCAATATTTGATTCAATACAAAAACGAATTTGAATTTTCATTAAAAACCAATGAAATGGAGATAAAAAATTTATTGGAAGCTATTGAAAGTAGATACATAAGCAGAGTCGAAGAAATGAAAAGATCCCAAGAAGTGTGTGAAGCTAGTGTCAGAGAAGTTAAAAATATGCTGAAGCTCACTGATAATTTTAAGACCCAGAGCGAGAAGGTCTGTCAAGAATTACAGGCAAGTAAAAATTTAAACGATGAACTTTTAAATAATTTTAAATCCGTGGTTAATGAAAGTATTCGTAATGTAAACAAAGAAGGAAAAAAAACTTATGCCGACATTATAAAAAAAAAAAAACCGGTAGTTGTCATTAAACCTAAAACGTCACAGACTTCAGAAATAACTAAACAGGTTGTCAAAAAACAAATAAACCCAGTAAACTTGAAAGTTGGTGGTTTAGCTAAAAATAGGGATGGGGCAATATCGATTGTTTGTGATAATGCGGAGATGGCTGAAAAAGTTAAAATTGAAGCGGAAAAAAATTTAAAAGAAAATTATGAAATAATGTTACCAAAAGAGAAAAAACCTAAAATCTTAGTAGTAGGAATGTCAGAAGAGCATAGTAAAGAAAAGTTGATTGAATTTATTAATAAGCAAAATGATATAAAGCATACACAAGATGTTAGGTTTATACGATCGTATAAATCAAATAATAGTTTCAAAGCTATAATAGAGTTTCACGTAGATGATTACAAAAATCTGTTAGATATAGGTAAATTAAGAATTAGTTGGGATAGATGTAGGATCTATGAAAATTTTGATGTAAGGAGATGCTTCAAATGTTTAGCATTCGGCCATAATAAACAAAACTGCAAAATACTAGGAGTTGTTTGTTTGAAATGCGGAGGTGATCACTTAGTGACAAATTGTAAGAGTGATACCTATAAATGTATCAATTGTATAAGGACTAGGCAGAATTTAAAAATTGAAGTAGAGGTAGATCACAAGGTTTTTGATAGAAGTTGTCCTACATTATGTAGGAAAATTGAAGTCGAAAGGAAAAGAATGTTTTTATAGCAATTAAAATATAGAGCTGAAGATATGATAAATGGAGTATACTTGAATATCCAAGGATTAACATCTAACTTCGCTGCGTTAGAAGAGCTGGTGTGCAAATGCAAGTCCGATTTCGTAATTTTAAGTGAGACCCATATTACGGAAGATATGAATGTAGGAAGTATGCAAATAAATCAATTCAAAATTAAAGGCTTCAATGATTTGCATTGTTTTTCTAACTCCAGGCACACAGGTGGTGTTTCAATTTATGTATCAAAGAAAATAAAGGCAGTAGAAATTAAAAAAATAGCAATTAATAATAAACTATGGATTCTAAGCATTAAGCTAATAATAGATAGGAAAAGTTTGAATGTACTAGCTTTATATAGATCGAATGTAATGTGTTACAATGACTTTATTGTAGAATTAACAAATTACTTAGAAAATAACATGAACTTTGCTGAAAATTATTGTATTGCGGGTGATTTCAATTTGGATTATTTGTGTAATAGTGCTGCAAAAAGACAAATAGAGCAGCTTCTAAAAGATTATGGGCTAAAACAATTAATAAATGAACCCACTAGAGTAACAAACGTATCGGGTACATTGATAGATTATGTTCTAGTTAATCAGTTCCCAAAAATTGAAGCGAGAATTAATAAGGATCTAAATATCACGGACCATGAAATGATAAGCATCAATGTAATTATTGAATCTAATAAGAAAACCCCAGAGCGTATAACATATGTAAAATATGACAAAGAAATATTTTTAAATGCGTTAAATGAAAATAATATAAATATCACAGCAAACATAGAAGATTTAAATAGTTGTGTTCTAAATTTAGAAAATGCAATCAAACACTCAATCCAAAAATTAAGAAAATCTATAACGGTAAGGAATAATAAAGCTGAATGGTTCAATGAGGAATTAAATACCATCAAGTTAAATAAGATTCATTTGAGAAGCAGGCACACTATGCTACAAAGTCATGATAGTTGGAAACAATACACAAAAATTAGAAATGAATATAAAAAAAAATGTCAAGAAGCAAAGAACAAATATATTGAAACTAAAATTGAAAGTAAAGTGGGGAATCCCAAAGAAATGTGGAGAACTATAAAGAAATATGTACTCTTGAAAGATGAATATTATATATCTGAATTAGAAATAAATAATAAAAAAATAAGTAACAGATTAGAAATAGTAAATTCTTTAAATGAATATTTTATAGAGAGTATTAAAAAAATTAATAAACAGATTCCTATGATGAACTACACTGATAATATTACTCCGGTAAATAATTGCTTTACTTTCAAGAAAATTAATATTAATGAATTACTCAATATAATAAAAGTAATGAATAATAAAAATGATTTCAATGGCCTCAATTCCAAAATATTATTAGATTGCAAAGAAGTTTTTCTTCCAATTCTTGTGCAAATAATTAATAAATCGTTTGAAGATGGTAAATTTCCTGAAGCTTGGAAAGAGTCAGTGGTGGTACCAGTAAACAAAGTTAAAAACGCTAAAAGTGCGGATAATATGCGACCGATAAATATGATGCCACTCTTTGAAAAAGTTTTGGAGAAGGTTGTGTGTAATCAGTTGGAGAATTTTTTGGAGAGAAATGAAATATTATGTAAAGAACAATCTGGTTTTAGAAAAGCGCACTCTACGGAAACTTCTTTGACTTGGGTCTTGAATGAGTGGAGAAAGGAAACTGATAGTGGAAAAATGATAGTAGCTGTTTTTTTAGACTTGAAAAGGGCTTTTGAAACCATCAGCAGAGAAATATTGATTAGTAAATTAAAGTCGTATGGGATTCGAAACAAAGAATTAAGCTGGTTCTCATCATACCTAAGTAGCAGATCTCAAAGAACGAAGTTAAAAGATGTATATTCTGATGCTAGATTTCTAGACCTAGGAGTTCCTCAAGGAACTATTTTGGGTGTAGTCTTATTTTTATTATACATAAATGACATACAAAATGTGTTAATTCATTCAAAAGTATGTTTGTTTGCAGACGACACATTGACTTATATTGTTGGGAAAAACGCCGATATAATTGAACAGCAAATAAATTCTGATATGGATAATTTACATAAGTGGCTGTGTAGGAATAAATTAATGCTGAACACCAGTAAAACAAAAGTTATGTGTGTAAATGGTGGAAACAGAAACATTGCGGTTAAAGTGGATAATGTAGAAATAGAATCTGTTCAAAGTATAAAGTACTTAGGAGTTTTTGTTGATAACAAATTGAAGTTCGATGAGCATACAGACTACATTCGTGGGAAAATATCCAAGAAAATTGGTTTCCTGGCGAGGATTAGAAAATCGGTATCTGAAAAATGTGCTGTAATGTTGTACAATAGTCTAATTCTTCCACATATAGACTATTGTTCATCTATTCTATTTATATGTAGTGAAGAAAAGAGGAACAAATTACAAAAACTTCAAAACAGAGCAATGAGAATCATTTTAAAAGTTAACAAGAGAACCAGCATTGCAAGTATGCTTTTAAAACTGAAGTGGATGAATATAAACCAAAGGTTAAATTTTAATGCATTGGTGTTCATCTTTAAAATTAAATATGGTCTACTACCTGAATATTTGCAAAGAAATTTGAACTACGTCGGAGGAAATTACAATTTGCGAAACGTTGGTGATTTCAGACTGCCACTTTACAAAAGATCAAGCTCGCAGAACACATTATTATACAAAGCTACTAAATTATTTAACTCTTTACCAGTACTGGTGAAAAATGAAAACAATTTTGCCACATTTAAAAAAAGTATTATTAAATTCTGTTGATTTTTGCATTTCTTAACTTTATGTACTTTCTTTGTATTTCTGTAATTAGTAGATCTCTTATGTATATATTAATTCTATATAGTAATTGAATTTTCAAATTTATTATAAAATTTTGAATTGTTAAATTTATACAGATAGATAAATTTTATTTACAGTTGATTTGATATAGAATAGTATATTGAATGTACATATAACGAATGTTTTATAAAAAGTTATCATAACTAATAAATAAATCTAAAAAAAAAAAAAAAAAAAAATTCCTTTATAATGCGACCATTGCATTCGTCTTTCATCATACCTAATACTTTTTTGTTTTTTCTGGGAATATTATACGGATTTGTAGAATTATATTCAGAAGTATCATATCTAGAATCGATATCAGGTAACATATCACTATAAAAGTCGTCCGTTTTTATGGTGTAAATGAATGAATCTGTATCCATATAATTTAAACTAATATCTTCTTTATACTTTAATTTAATATAATCATAATGGAACCTATACATTGAAATGCGCTATACTGTGAAAATTCGATCGGGATATTTAAGCTCGAGCGCCCAAACGGCGGCCACTACTTTCCCAATCAGTTACAATTTTCACATCCTTTCTTTTGTCTACATTTTCCATGGTTTTACCATAGTTAGCATTGTTTTGCTTTTTGAAAAAGTTTTTTTGAAAATCATTTGTAGCTCGGGTTCTATGAAAATTATTCAAATCAATAAAGCTCTTTAGCCAGCGAGATTGATTGAATTCTAATACTCTATAAATTTTCTTTAAAATTAAACCATGTTTTAAACAGTGTTTTAAATTTCTATAGTGAATGATATATTTTTTTTTTGCCTCCAGATCAGCTACTAACTTTTTCTGTTTCATATTAGAATTTTGCTTATTTTCTGCACAGAACGGTAAGTCGTTATGTGAAACATGTAAAGAAGATGGATATTCTAAATCCACCTCTAAAATATAGCCTATCTCTGAGTCATCTGATATATTTGAAACATCAATATCAACATTTTTACACCACTTAAAATTTGAATGGGGTAGATATTCTGATTGGGCTAGACCGTAAAGATTGTTTACGTCTAAATACATAATATATTGTGATGGCTTATTCGCATCGTAATTCTCTAAGTATTTATTGTTAGCAACAGAATGCCTTAAGCTGCATTGCGTTAAACCGCCTCTTATACCTCTTTTAATAAAATTATGCATATTGATATCCGTTAACAGTTCCAATTCGATTTTTGTTGTTTTTAACATAGAGTCCCAAGCCAACCCAGGAGCCGTAAAATATTGACAAGGATCTAAAGAATATATTTTCAGACATACTTGACGGAAATTTTGAAAAATATCTGTTAATAACAACACATCTATCTTTAAATATAATTCTAAATAATCACGTAAACTTTTGCATTCAAATTTTTCCCATACTCTTTCCGCGTGAGCATAATCTTCGTCTGAGTAAACACTATCTAATAGACTATTATTAAATTGAATTTTTGATGGTAGTGTAGTATCGTTTAATTTTTCCCATGAATTTAGATATTCATATGGAAATATCCCTTTACGTCTGACCAAAGAAAAATTTTCAACATCGGTAAACATTTTTCTCACAGTTAATAAATCGCTATCAGATAAGTATGAAGCTAATAATTCTAAACTGGTATCCATAAATCTAAAAGAATCTAAAAATCTAATTTCTACAAATTTATTTTCTTCGTATTCAATCCACTTAGAAAGAGAAATATAATTTTCTTTATTAATAGGTATAACATTAATATTCCCATTTTCTAAATGCTTTTTTAATTTAACATTAATATAATATTATTTTCTAAATGCTTTTTTAATTCTAATTCTGTTAATTTTTTCATTGGAACTATACTATCTAAATACTTACAAGCTATATTTTTCACATTTTTAATTAAATTACTTACAAAATCATTCTCACATCCAGGATTAGTCTGCATGCGAAATTCATCTAAATTATCATCATATGAGCATTTAATGTAGTATGCATAAGAGCACGGAACATGTTGTTGGATATCTATCGTTGATGATATCTTCGGATCTGGTGAGCATGTATCGATATTTTCTAGAATGCATTCAAAGTCCGCGTAAATTGCAAAAGGAACTACCATTTTCTTTCCAAAGTTTTTGAATTTTAGTATCTTGTTTTCATTTTTTGGCATTGATGTAACAATTCTGTTACACTCAGGCTCATGTTGTTTTAAATCCGCTTCATTATAAAAATGTAACAAGCAATTTTCACATAAAAAAATACTTCCTTTATGTTTACTGATTTGTGATGCGATTAGTCTGGATATATTTTTTATATATACATAGTGTGATTTTTCTTCGTTTTCTATCAACAACAGATTTATATGATGCACTTTTTTTTCTGTTGTACAATAATACGGTCCACTAATTTGAAAGAACGTATTATCGTTGGTTTCCACTTTTTCATATCCAAAAACATTTATGCTGATATTTGAGTTTAATTCTTCAAATATTTTTATATCACTAACTTTAAGCGGAAATGTTAACCCATCGAATTTTAAAGAAATATTATTTTCTAATGTAATTCTTTCCGCTCTAATATCTCGAATCTTATACGTTGATGTTCTTTCAGGGTGATTTCCAGTATGAAATGCAGCTGCTACACTCCATTTAAAGCAATATTCATCTGAATTCATAATGTTGATGCATGCTTTTTTATTTTTTATAAATAGCGGTAATGGTAGATATTGTGAACCACGTAAAGGTTTGTATTCATTGACGTTAATTTCCAAATGTATAATTTTAATTAACGCCCATCCACTATCTCGTTCTTGAAATTCGTCTGTCTTTTTTATAATATTCTGCATCATCTTATCATGGCTTTCATATATTTCAGCTTCATGTAATATACGCAACATTTGCTATTAAACGATTTTATTGATGTTATGAGTTCATCATCATATTCATCATCAAAATTAACTTCAGCATTCCCTCTTTTTTCGATTTTTACATATTCTGCAAACAGCTCCAAATTAAATTTAAATGCTCGATGTTTTATTAACATGCTGCTTAACAATTTGGTGATCCTTTCTTTGGAATTTTGTAGAAACGATTCGGGTAAAATATTGCTTTCATCATTATTTTCTAACATGAAAGTTTCCACCCGTTCTTTGAAATTGCTCTTCACACGTTTTAAGTCTCCATCCACAATTTCTTTAGCATTTTTTTTATGTGCAAATGTTTTAGTATGATACAGCCAATCCTTGCATAATACTTCAATATTGCAATCTAAGCAAGTTTTGAAATTATTTTGAACTGAACGTTTCATTTTTATAATTCCTTCACTGACTAATTTTTAATTAATTCTTAATTAATTTTATGTAGTTTTACTGATGCACTCAAACAAAGTACTATTTATAAATTATATTTCGGTAATTGTATTGAAGTTCGTGTTTAATTTAATATCATTCAAATTCTTTGATAATTTATAATGGTTAACCGTATCCTATACTAGGCTATTTTTACATAATTAATATCATTTCATATTATTACAGAGTCTCCTGACGTCATATTATTACTATATCTCCTGACGTCATTTTTCAAGTTCATGAAGACATAATATAGTATAGTATCATATCATTTTTTTTTCAATTCCCTCATTCTGCAATACAGTTTTAATAAAATTTCTTATCTTTT